TGTAGAGGTGTCTATCTCTCTTCAGTTATATTAGCATGTGATTTATGTATTTTGAGGCTCTTTCATCGGCGCTATATATACATGGTTATGTCCTCCTGTTCAGTTGATCCCATAATCATGATATAATGTCTTTTGTTTCTTTTGCTGGTTTTGGCATTAAAGGCTATTTTATCATACCCCAAAAAAATAGCAATAAAGAAAATACATACTAAGATTCTAGAACTACATAATGAATTTAAAAATCAAAAGAGTAAAATTGAATCAATGGAAGACCAATGGCAAATCTCTGAAATCGAATCCCTAAAAGGAGCAATCAGAGAAAGAAAATCTAAAGGAACCCTAAGAAATATCTGGAAGCCATAATTGGAAATAACTTATAAGTAATTGAAATTTTAGACCAGAAAGAAATTATAAAAAGAAAATTGTTGAAGAGATGTTAGAAGAAAACGTCCCTAACATTATGAAAAATGGGAAGATATACATTTTTAAAAATGGAATGAACTCTAAACAGAAAACTCCCAAAAGAAAATCCAAAACTCCAACCGAAAACCACCGAAAATACTATAATCAAATGTGAAAATCCAAAGACATGGTAAAAATCCTGAGAATAGCTCAGGGAAAACACAAAGTTACCTTAAAAGAAGAATTAATATCAAGGGTTTGTGAGGGAGGAAAAGGAAAATGAGGAGCTGATATTAAGGGCCGAAGTAGAAGGAAAATGTTTTGAGAATGATGATGGCAACAAATGTACAAATGTGCTTGATACAATGGGTGTATGGATTGTTATAAGAGCTATAAGAACCCCAATAAAATGATTAAAAGAATAAAAATTAAAAAATATGAAGAATTATTAAGACCAAATTCTAATTTCACAACAGAAATCATGCAGGTAATAAGGTAGTAAAATTATATAAAACTGTGAAAGAAAAAAAAAAAGCCAACCAAGAATCAGATACCTAGCAAAATGTCCGTCTGATATGATGGTGAAATTAGAACATTTCGAAGTAAACAGAAATTAAAAGAACTTGTAAAAGCCAGACCAACATTACAAGAAACGCTAAGGTAAATTCTTTAGAACAAAGGTGGCAGACAGCAACATGAGATTGGCATATACGGGAAGCCTCCCGAAGTCAATCTCGATGTGAAGTTTCCAAAGTAAAACGAGCATGCCGAGGGACCAGCCGGAGTGGAGACATTATGAGACATTTCAGATGGAGAGGAAGCCAAGTAGATTGCAAGATAGTATAGATGGTGTTAAATTTGGAAAGAAATTAATAAACTACAGGTTAACATCAAATAAAACACACATTGCCAACATAAAAGTGGAAAATCATAAATATTCACAAAACACTTAAACAGCAGCAATGGAAAAAATGACAAGAAAACTCACAAACAAAATGAACTCAGCAGAGAAAATTATGTGGACTAGAGAAACCAGCAGCAACACACACACACACACACACAAACACAAAAAACCCACAGAAAAATGAAAGCAATAAATTCATACCCATTGATAATTACACTGAATGTACATGGCGTAGATGCATGTCTCAAAAGATAAGGGACAACAGATTGGATAAGAAAGCAAGGCCCATCAATGTACTGTCTACAAGAGACACACAAAAACAAAAATAGACTAAACCTAAGGTTGGAAAAATATATCAAACTAATGGCAACCAAAAAAGTTAAGGAGTGGCAATATTAATTTCTGTTAAAATAGCCTTTAAGGCCAAATCCAGGAGGACATAACCAAAGAGAAATAGAAGATAATCAGACAAAGGATTAAAAACAAAGGTAGGAAAGGAGAAAAAAGGGCAAGGGCAAGACACAGAGAGGAGAAAACTGTGGAGGGTAGGGTGCTTGGTGTGGGCTGGCACCCCTAGCAGCCAGGGAGCCCGGGGTAGAAGATGAGGACTGACAGGGTGGGAAGTCAGTCATAGATGGTGTCCCAGCCAGTCTAGGGGTTATCTGGGGTCAGGGACCTGATGCAGCAGTAGTTTGTAAAGGCATAATTGGTGGCTGAGGTTTCAGGGTGCTTGTCCCTGGGGTAGGGATTCTTCTGGGGGTAGGGTGGGTGTTTATGGAAGGAGTTCTTGCCCAACAGGGTGGCTGTTGACATGCTGCTGTCCTGCACTGCACTGCTATTCTCAGGAGGGGAAGCCCACAATCTCCAGCTTTGGAAGTAGTACACCAGGACTGATTCACAAGGACTCTGCTTCAAAGTCAGGCAGAGCAAGTTGACTGTACACCCATCCTGTCTCCTCTGGCCACTTTTGTTCAGCCACTCTTAGTCATCATTCAACATACTTCTCTGCCCTTTTTTCTTTAGCTCATGGTTCCAGCATTATCATTGTGTCAGTTTCATTTGGTTTCTCGTGAGTCTCTATTGTAGAGGATCTGGGCAGCATGTCTGCCTGATCTACCATTTTGCTGGAAGTTTTTGCTCATAAGCTTTTAAGACCTTACTGATCGCTACAGTAAGATATAGACAGTGGTTCTCAACCTTCCTAGTGCTGTGACCCTTTAATACAGTAAAATACAATTTAACTGTATTTATATAGTTCCTCATGTTGTGAGGACTCCCCCAACCATAAAATTATTTTCGTTGCTACTTTATAACTATATTTTTGCTACTGTTATGAATCGGGTGAGCCCTGTGAAAGGGTCGTTGGACCTCCAAAAGGGTCGTGACCCACAGGTCGAGAATCACTGATATAGAACATTGTCTTTGTGGATTGTGTTATACCACTTGACCTTGGTGCCCCTAAGACCACTGATTCTGAGCCACTGGGTCCAGCGACTCATTTCTTCACAGTGTTTGGTTCTGTCTCACAGAGAATTCTATACTTTGTCAGCTGTGCGGACCACAGCACTCTACCTTTCAGCGAGGTTCTATAATCAATCGCCATGGCCCCACAGAACTTCACAGCATGCTCACCATTGTGAAGGTTATTATGGAAGTGAACAGGAAGAACTGTTCAGAATTCAATTGCTTAGCCAGGAAATGTTACAGAATTCTTTTAGGGTGGCTAACAAATGCCACTCTGGTGTAAGCCTCAACCTGAAGGCACCCAGCTCCAGCTTCATGAGTTCCCGACTCCACAGTCATCTTTCTGCCCAGCCACTCAGCTTGACCCGCTCTGCGGGCTGGGAAGTCCAGCTCCTCTCATGCTCGGGCTCCTGGCCCTGCTGCTGCTCTTCCTTTGCCACTCCTCAATCGAGGAGGTTCGGTGAGCAGGGGGCGGGTCCAAAGTAAGTAGTCTGCTTCTGACTCTGGTGGCTGGGAGTGAGACCTTCTGAGATGGTTCATTTTATACCCAGCAGGGGGCAGTCAAAATGCACCCTGTCCCTGCTCTACCCCGATCCGTCTGGAAAGGGCTATTGTTTGGGGGGAGTTCTAGAGACTACAGCTTGAAAGCCACGTGAAATAATTCACTGCACTAAAACCACATTCATGGATATGCTTGCATCGATGTTTGCATTTTTGATGATATAAGCAAAATCTTGTCATTCTTTTGTAATTCATAGTTTCCTGAGGCATTCTAAGAATTAATTGCAGTTTTAAGTCTCTGGGCAGCAAGAGATGATGGAGGTGGGGATATGAGAGGAGTTGACACCCCCTTGGATAGTAACTAGCTCAGTTGGGCCTTCCAGCAAGGAATGATAGTGCTTATTGGACTTGGGAGAAGAGCCCACAATGGACTAATAATACATCTAAAAGGTCAGTCACAGGCCTATGGCCCATTCTCCTTCTACCTTGAGGTTTCTAGGATGGAATGAATGACCTAAATCAAAACTGCATTTAATCTAACTAATAACAAGGTCTCCTGGTAAATTCTCTAAAGTATTTATTAAACAGAAAATAGTATGTAGTCCTTATCTATTGCTTTTTAGCAGAATATATTAGAAATATTTGTTTCTTGTCCATGTAAATAAACTTGGAAATTCTAGATGTATGGGGTGGATAACAAGGCTGATTGGAATTATGTAATGAATGACAGTAATGTAACAGATGATACATAAAATAGGGATGTTCTATAACCCAATTACCACTCTGGGAAGCAGGGTTTCAGCATACACCGCTCACAACACACATCACAGTTTTAGTCTCTTATTAGAATAAGCCCCAAGACAGAAGAGGGGAGAGGTTTTCTAAGAGGGTCAGAATTCTCCAAGAGAAAATGTTTTATGTGATTGTTTCATTTAAATCATTAGTCAACATTGCTCATGGGTGTGATCTGTGGTGTCTGAGACTGATCTGGCAGCTTTTTCATCTGTCCATTGAATGGATGCTTACTCTGTGTGAGACAGTCTGCAAGACACTGGCTGTAATACTAATACAAACACTGCCCTTGGCCTCATGAACCTTACGGTCTCTTGGAGAAAACAAACATCGGAGAGGTAATAACAAAATATGATTTACTTACAATTGTGTTGTGTAAAGTGAACATTTGTAATGGCAATTGAGAGGAATGAGGACTGCCAAGCTAGGTTGAGGCCCCAGTTGAAGCTGGAAATGATAAATTGGTAATATCAGACCACATGGCTGTGTAATTTTTTTTCCAGCTATGTTATACAGCCAAGACTTTGGATCAGGGCAGGTGAATGGTTTCATTCCTTTACTATCAGGGGTTTGCAGGATGGGAAAATGAAAAGAATGAGCCCCCTTCGGACTCTGATATTGTTACGAATGCACATATAATCCCCCCAGTTCAGTGCCTAGAAATCAGGAGATCTTCTCTGTTTCCTCAGATCCTGATTGTGCTAGTGAGTGGGATAGTCATCGCTTTGTTGTGTGTTATATGTGTATACTGGAGAGACAAATGGCTGGTAGCTGGGCTGTCACTGAAGGTAAGCGTCATCCTGTGGTTCTAACGCTCCCTGTCCAGGGGTGTCCAGCCTGACTTCCGACTTTCTCCCAGGTCTTTGCTCCCTACTGGCATCTGGCCTGCATAACTTTGATGGTTATCTTGTCATGTCCTGTATCCTACTACTTGGTCCGCTTGGAAGCAGAAGGTATGTCATCTTGTCTGACTCCTGCACTCTGGTTTTCTCTTACAGACGTCATTCAGCAACACCAAACCTGGATAACGAGCCAACCCAGTGCCTCCTTGACATTGCTTCACCTGTGACTCAGGCAGATTGCTTGCGGTCGCACTCCCTACTATAAATAGCCAGTCATACGATTTACTCCCCTAACCCAATAGGCCTTTTAAAGAGGGATTCTCCTTCTAGCCGAAGAAGGAAAAAGACTTTTCTCTATGTTATTATGCACTATCTAAGGATGAGTGGGAGCAGTGGGGTGTTTTAATTTTATTTTACCAAAGTGCTGGTGAGAGGCACAAATTCTTTCTGTTTTGATTGGAAATGATTAAAGTTTTAATGAATGTACACCAGACCCAGAGAGCCCTCATTACCTCCATGAAACTTAGAGTATGTCCCCACGAGTCCTGTTGTCCTGGGAGCCCCACATCAGGAACAGAGATTTCTAGTTCTGCTACAGCTCTCCTCTCCATGTTCGCCCGTTTGTCAGGGAAATGAGAAAGAAGCAGCTGTACACTTGTTCTGAGAATGGAGCGTGTGCTCTCCACCCTCCCTGGGTCTTCTGTCTAAGCCTCTGTGTCTGCTCTGTTTGCTTGAGGGTTGTCTGTGTTTCTTGAGCGAGGCTACAGGCAAGGGAAATAAGACTGAATTGCTTGGGATGCCATTGTCCATAACATGTATTACAGAAAATGTTTCTGGAGCAAGAGCTTCAAAGGGACAATAATGAGCTTTTTTCTCTTTTCTTCCTGGATGTTAGCTAGGTATAAGAGTTTCATGATGCCCTGTTACGAGCAAGAAACACCCGGGAGACTTGGACCGCTCACACGGTTGAAAGGTTAGAGATGGAGCAGGCTGAGATCTGAAAGGCAGGAGAATATAGGTGGTACCTTGAAATGTACACGTGGATACTGTCCTCAGAAGCCTAAAATAGATAGTGTTGGGGAATGGCCACCCCGACACTGGGATCCTGTATGTGTGTTAAGAGAGGAGAGTCGAGTAACTAATTTTTATCGGGCACCTGTTTGGAGTCAACACTGTCACAAGAACTCTGTGACGTAGATGTTAGTGGCTAGAGTGCCCATTTTATAGAAGACGATTAAGACTCAGAGGGACTAAAGAAGAATGAGAAATTGACAGAGCCTGGCCTTGAACTCGGATTTTTGTCAGCTCATGTCCTTCCATTGAACTGCACGACCTTAACTGTAGGAGAATGCTAGGTTGATCTTTCTAGACTTTAGGTCTTTCTCAAAATCCCCAAGTTTTCTTCTTGACAAGTTGATCCTTGACATTCCCTTGCCTTCCTTCCCTTCTCCCACCTCCCCCGGCCCCCACGTCCCAGTTCAATCCACTGCTAATTTCTAGTTCCGGTAATGCTGCCTTCATCACAAGGCCTTGTATGTGGACAGTCTTGCATTTCCACATGCAAATCTCTGACAGGAAGTGGGGATGTGACAGAAGTAAAATAAATTAGCCAGTCCTCAGTTAATGAAACCTGTTAACTGGGCTTTACTCAGACTGTTGCTTTGGGAGGGGAGGGAGCCAGGAGGCTGGCAGCAGAGGGTGAGAGTTGGGCTGCCAGCTGCAAGGTCAGCAGTGGGCAGCTGCCAGCTGCTCCTCGGGAGAAAGATGTCATGAGAGGTACAGTCTTGGACAGTCACAGGGACAGTGTTATTTAAGGTTGCTATGAAACAATGTCAACTCAATGGTAGTGAGGTGGTGGGGTTGTTGTTGTTTGGTTGCTCTGGGCTAGTCAATTACATGCGATCGTTTTCCATTCTCTTTTATCTCACTTTTCCTTTCCAACTTTTTCAGCACTACAGCTTGTTATTGGACTGCCCTTCCTTATTGTCCTTTTGTTTCTCTACTTGATGCCGATGGGGATTCATTCTCCCTGCATTCAGGAGAAGGAGTCATTAGGGCCCAAGCCAACTCTCTTTGGACATAGAGGTGCCCCCATGGTAGGTTTGGCCCTGAAGAAACTTGGTGAGTACAGGGGTGCCTGCCTGTGGGGGTGAGAGAAAGGTCCCTCAGAACCACAGGAGCTTCTGGAAAGGAAAGGGGTTGGCTTGAGATAGCAGCAATTAGGAATTCGTTGTTGAGATTGGACTCAAACCTGAGCCACCTGACTCCCAGGCCATTTTTTTTTAAACCATCTGTTTATCTTCTCTTTCATAGCTGGGACCTGAGAATACCATGATGTCTTTTGAAAAAGCTGTTGAACACGGGGCCCATGGACTGGAGTTTGACATACACCTAAGGTAGGCCAGCAGAGGCAGGGATGGGGATAGGAACAGGGGGAGATAAGGCTAGCACCATGGAGGGGGACCTGCCGGGATGGATCTGGAAGACACTGTGCTTCCTGAAATATCAATCACAGCAAGACAGATACCGTAGGAGACCACTATTACAAAAAAGAAAGAATAGGTTTATACATGCAGGAAATGGTTTGATGGTTTCCAGGAATGGGAAGGGGACGGAGGGAAGATAACTAACTAGATAGTTGATGCTGACTTATAATGACCTAGTAGGGCAGAGTAGAACTCCCCTATGAGTTCCTGAAACTTAACTCTTTACGAGAGTAGAAAGCTCCATCTCTCTCTCGAAGAGCCACTGGTGGTTTTGAACTGCTGACCTTTTGAGCACAGCCCAGCATGTAACCACTACTCCATTCTGGCGAAGGGAAAGGTAATAACATGAGCAGCACAGCATGAGCGGGGCAAAGGAAGGCAATGAGAGGTATTTGAGAACAAAGAGAAATTATGGTAAATTCTGTAATAAAATCATGCAACAATAGTAACGAGTATTTTGTAAGTGATTACATAGGTTGATTGAAAAAACACACAAAACCCCCCCAAACATATTCCCATCAAATTGATTTGAACTCATAGCAACCCTCCGGAACAGTGTAGAAGTGCCCTTTTGTGTTTCGAGGCAGTAAGTCTTTACCGGAACAGAAAGCCTTATTTTCCTCCTACAGAGTTCCATGTAGATCTGCATGTTTAATAGATGTGGAAGATCACCTAGAGGCACACCCACATGCATACATAGATAAGGCCATGGATATTCCTACACACATGTTTGTACACACATGTTTGCTCCATGTGTATTCATAATATATAATAGAGCACTTAGAGGGTGTGGTTATGGACACTTCATGAAACTGAGATACTCGACCATAATCTCGGGCCATCTAGGTCAATTGGGATAGCTATTTCAAAGACTTAACAGTGCGTGAGTTATTTGGTGGTCTTAAAAGCTTGCAAGGGCCTTTAAGATCCAACTACTAGTCTTCTTTATCTGGATCAAAAGATAACAAGGAAAACTAAAGACTCAAAGAAGCAATTAGCTCAAAAGGACTAATGATCTACATCAGTGGTTCTCAACCTTCCTAATGCCACGACCCTTAATACAGTTCCTCATGCTGTGGTGACTCCCCCAACCATAAAATTCTTTTTGTTGCTACTTCCTAACTGTAATTTTTGCTACTGTTATGAATTGGGCAACCCCCGTGAAAGGGCCGTTAGACAACCCCCCCCACCAAAGGGGTTGCGACCCACAGGTTGGGAACCGCCGAACACCAGAGCTGCCTCTTATCCGAGATCAGACAACTACATGGTGCCTGGCTGCTCCTCCTGACCACTCTGAGCAGGAACACAGGAGAACACAGGAGTAGTGGAGATGAAAAAACAGGCTAAAGTTCAAATCAATGAAAAAGACTAGCATTATCTGTGTGATAGAGACTGGAGGAACCTGGAACAATCTTCTAAGTTGGAATTGTAGACACTCCTGGTGACCACCTTTCTGCTGAATAGCAGGTTGGCTATAAAATGAACCATAGCAGCCCAAAAGAATGTACTTCTTAGAACAGTCAACAATAAGAGGTCACAAGCAAACATAAGAAGGCAGCAAGGGGTGGGGACAGTAGAAACACAGGTACGCCGGGTAGTGCTGACATATTGCCGGGGTGGCGACCAGTGGAATGGAATGATTTGTGTATGAGACTTAAGTGAATGAAAATCGACTTTGTTGTGTAAACTTTCACCTAAAGCACAATAAAGTGTTCCCAAACCAAGAAAGTTTAAATATAGAAAACAGATTTTAAAAAGACCGAATATATGACATATAATCGAAGTACTTGAAAAAGAAATGAAAATCAACCAAACTCCACCAGTGGATGAGAGCTGCAATCCCCACTGGGAGCAAAGTCAACAGCATGCAGATGGTGGCTCTACATATTGAGAGGACACCATGCGGAGTGTGGAAAACTGAGCCAGACCAAACAACTCTGAAACATACAGTGCTCACATTAGAAGACACTCTAAAGGGAAAAAACAGTCTTCTGGGCACTAGGTAGGAAAACAAACAAACACATTTTTTCACAAAGAATACATCCGAATACATAAGGTGCACATGCATATCACAAAAGTGCATATAGGAAACAGAGGCGAGGGGTGCGCTGTGTCAAAAAAAGTGTTTATGTAAAGCTGTGGTAACTCCGTTGCGAGGGCATGATTAGAACTGAAAACCCAGAAATACAACCATGCACCTAGAGACCTCTGAGCTTTGATAAAGGACTAAAACACAGTAAGTGGGGGAGAAAGAACAGAAAGAACAACTTCAGTAAATGGTGCTGGAAAAATTGGACCTCTACCTGCAAAAGAATGAAACAGGACCCATACCGCACATCCTGGTCAAAAATGAACCACATTTCCCCCCCAAAAAATCAAACTTATTGCCATTGAGTCGATGCTGACTCACAGAGACCCTATAAGACAGGTTAACACTGCCCCCCTGTGAGTTTCCGAGACTGTAATTCTTAATAGAAATTGAAAAAGCCCAGTCTTCTCTGGTAAAGTGCTATCGATTTGAACTGCTGATCTTGTGTAAACGCTAAGCAGCCCGGGCTCCTGGGACACTGCCACGGTTTTAACGAGATGGCCCATGTTTTTCTCTTTGTGTTATGTGCCACAGACCAAAGGGGCCCGAAGAAGTCCACGGGGGAGGAAAGGAGCAGTGGCCACAGTCCTACCCAAGAGACCTAAACACTGGTCTGAGTGGTTATAAAAGAGGGAGCGTAAAAGTAAAAGTGAAATTCTTTTTTTTTTAAATGAAACTTCTTAAATTCTTTCGTGACACACAAGTACTTTTGAACACAACAAAGCAACACTAGTCATACCAGTGAGCTTTCAGAGATCCTTTTAACCAAAATAGTTGCATTCCTCCTTGCCACCCTTACCTCTCTCTCTCTCTCTCTCTCTCTCTTCTCTCTGTAGCACCGATAGTGTCCCTTTCCTCATGCACGACCACGACTTGAGAAGAACAACGGATATCAGGGAGGTGGTGCCCAGTGCCTCTCGGAACAGAAGTGACTCCTTCTCATGGGATTTCCTGTCGACTCTGAACGCAGGCAAATGGTTTTTAAAGGTAAGAGAACCACGAGTAAGACTTTCCCCAGCTGCTCTGCATCCCTCTACCAGTGCTCCTCTTTGATCTACAGTCAGACGTGAAGATACACATGTGTACACATAATTTGTCTCACTGTTCTAGGAATCCATTTTCCAGTGATTCACTCAGGTGAATTGTTGCTTTCTCATTCACTGGAAAATATAATATATACTTGTTAAATTACTCTTGTCATGTAGTTCCCTTTTACATAAGCATTTAATAAACTTTTATTTTTACAGTGTGCCCACCATGTCCATAGCATCTTTTCCCCACAGCGGGACTGGTGGATTTGAACTGCCAACCTGTGGTTAGCAATTCAACGCTTCACCACCAGGGATCCTTCATTAATAAATAGGTACATAAAAACTAAAGATGCTCCATTAGCATGTGAGTATTGGGTTAGTTGACTGTAGTTAACGTCTTAGCAAATGCATTTTTTCAGATAAAAAGCCTGTTATTATATCTGACATACAATTTATGGCTTAGAAAAGTATTAATAGGATTTATAGAATTTAAAATACTCCTAAAATTGAGCCAGTGTTTCATAAGGCTGTGATGTGATGAAGTAGGGAGGTTGATGAATGAGTGGCTTGATGGTTTTAATAGGAATTTTTCATATATTGATCACTCCATATATATTTCATATATTGGTAGCCCTTCTAATTGAAAGACAACAGTGATTACTCATGTCACTGCCCCTGATTAAAATTCCATGTAGCAACTATGACATAGTATTTTAATTACTAGTTTTCAAGATTTTCGTCCCAAGCTATCTTCTGTCTATGGACATCTTAGGCTATTTGGAAGTAGCAGAACTGGAAAATTATTTTTTAACTCATTTTATTGGGGGCTCTTACAGCTCTTATCACAAGAGTTGGATACATTTTTGTAATATATTTTGGTAGATAATATTTAACATTCCAAAGCAAAAAAACAAACCAGCTGCCATTGAGTCTGACTTTTGGGGACCCTTATAGAATAGAGTAAAATACAGTTCCCAGAACGGTGCAGCTTTATGGAAGCAGACTACCCCTCTTTCTCCCATCGAGCAGCTCGTGGATTAGAACTGTCTACCTTT